CTGCATATGCGCATACGTATACACGGTATATACACGCATGCGTGTCTGTATATACGTTGTATATGCATAATTGATATGTTTCGAGTAAATGTAAAGTTAATGGCAAATGTCGATACAACAATTAAGAAAATAAGAACAATTACCTAAATTGTCGATCAGATAATAACGTTGTTTACCATCCAAGACTTTCTTATACTCATCAGGAATTCCTTTACCCCAAGTAAGAACGTAGCCCCTTACTTTGATACTTTGATCTTTTGGTGGTCCCCACCATACAGATATTGAATCTGACATTGCTTTAGCTAAAGAAAATAATCAAATTCTTAATCGAATATTGCATCAAAAGACAGCGATGCAATACGTCATTTTGATTTAAAAATTTTTTTACATTTTTTTTTTCTTTTTATTTTATTTTTTATTTATTTAGTTTTTGTTTTGATTTTTTGCTTTATTCGTCCTTTATTTCGCAATTTTTTATTCAAATTTGAATCTTATCGAAACACTCCGTGTAATAACTTCAATTACTTTTATTTTTCTCTTTTTAACATTTTCATTTCTCACTTTCTTTGTAGCAATAATACTTTTAAAGAAAAAAGTATCACGAATTAGTAACTGCCCATATTGTTGCGTACGTTAGATTAAAAAGCTTAAACAACGTTACTTCCACGAATAACACCGCGTTACTACTGCACTGCCACGTTGTTGATAATAGAAAATCTGTGGATAGTTGCGAAATGCATTGAAAATCGGTAGGTGAAACGATAATAGAAAAAGAAAGAAAGATCAAATATCAAAGATCCGCATTTTGCTTTATCATCGCGCGATGTTCATCTTGTCCGCAAACCTGATTGTCCTACTCGAACAATCGATGTTATAATCAATGTGCATGAAAATGCCCAGACAATGAATATTAGACGAGCGTGCGCGTCATCCTCGAGGCATCATGGCATTATCGTCTGTCGGTGTCTAACAGTGGCTTGGAGTCGCAAGAAATTCGGCGGATCAATGATATTTTCGCGTATCTGCGTGATCCATGTCTATCTATATATATATATATATATATATATATATATATATGATCTCCTCCGATCTCCTCCGATATCCCCCCACCCCTCCTCGTCACACCCCCCTCCCCCTCCCCCCATTCCACCGCACTTAATCCAGCCGTGGATTACGATTACTTCTCCTTTCTCGAGTTAGTCAGCTAGCGAGCAACGCAAAAAACTACAAGCAAAAAGCAGATAGGCGGAATGAGGGGGAAAGCGGAATAGTCGTGTTTGTTACCGGAGCTGCGTCAAGGCCCCCAAGGCCGTTCAAACCACAACGTCTAGCTTAGCTGGAAGCGCTAATCAGATGTAAGAATGCGTAATAGCGTAGATTGCGACGAGAGGTCGTTCGTTTCTACGTACTACACGCGCAATGAGGCTCCGAGCTTTAGTGGCGCGAGGAGAATGAGTAAATGATGTTTGGTGTATTGTGGGTGGGGGATGGTAACGGTTGGCGGGGGGTGGGGGTGGTGGTGGTAACGGGTGGTAGGGGATTCGGACTCACTTCGCAGATTGGTTGGCGCACTTGGCACTTCGCTTTCGGACGAGTCGTTCTCGTAAGTCTCGATGTCGAGCCAATCGGAGCAGGGCCCCGTGCCGTTCACGTTAAAGGCGCAGACGCGCACTTGGTAACTGACGTTCTTCTCGAGTCTGCTGAGAACGTGGAGACGCTCGTTGCCCTCGGTCGTTACCACCGTGGGATGAGATCGGCGATCGGTCGGCCGATAACGGATCTTGTAGCCGGTTATGATGCCGTTCTGACCCTCGGACGGCGGCTCCCAGCGTATAATCACGCTCTGCAAAAGCCAAGGCCAAAGGGGGTGAGTTTGGACCGGTAGAGGACGTGGGTGGTGAGTGGGAGTACAGGGGGCGTCGGCAGTTACCGTGGAGCTGGCGGCCTCAACGGTGACGTTGGGCGGACTCGTTGGCGCGGAACCGTACGTCCTGATCCTGATCTCGCCGGTCGAGGCCCCGGGCCCGTTATCGTTCACCGCCTGCACCCATATGTTGTACTCCTTGTAGGGCAGTAGACCGAGTAGCTCGTGCGCCGTCTTAGACGTGTTCCTCTTCGTCTCCTCGTTATCCCCCTGTAAATACCATTTGATTGTAAATGATTAAACGTGGCATCGGATATTATTTGCAGTGCCGCCGTCACCAATGCGGTAATTTATAAGGATTGAGCGCGCACCTCGGCATACGTGATGAGGTAACTGGAAATCCGACCATTTATCACCGTCGGCTCTTCCCAAGTCACGGCGATGCTCTCGCTGCTCGTCGGCCAGCCCTTCAGATTCAACGGTTGGCTCGGTACGTTCGGCTGTAACAACGTTGTTATCCATGCATTGATTGTTGCGAGATAGTTGGACAGCAAAGGGGCTTTTTCGCCCTCGTCGTTAATCGATATAACGGCTTATTGGGTATATTGGAAGAATTTTTTGCGAGAATCGCGTGTTACGTGCTCAGACCGTCTACGTACCTCGGATTCGGTGGTCAATTGCAGGACCTTACTCGAGGCGCTGAGGATGTTGGAGATGTTGGCGACGGCGCGAAAGAGATACGTCGTGCCAGGTTGGAGTCCACTAATCGTCACCGTCGTCTCCTTGTTGGGCGTCTTCTCTATTCGCTCCCTATAATTTCAAGGTTACGTCAAGGCCGATCGCGGAGCTCCTTGGACGTCGCCGCGGTCCAATCGCGAAGATCGTTAATTCGCAATTTATCGCGAATTGCAATTGACATGAGCTACCGGAAGTCTTTAACTTAACACGATACTCGCGCGAAAGTAATAATTTATTTAAAAAAAAAAAGAGAGAAAGATAGGCAAGTCTTGGATTATTTTCCGGCTGGAGATAGGTATGAAATATTACTATACTCGCTCGAGCAAATCTACCTTAAGGTCAGTCAGGCTGAAGGGAACGTTCGAGGAAACATTGCTCAATATGTTAATGTTATTATTAATTTATGACGACGCACAATGATTTTATGGCCGCACTTAGGCCTCGGTGCGCCCCGCACACGTGCATAAAAACACAATGTACACGACAGAGAACTTAAATTTCAATCCTTAAATATTTAGTATTTATTATTCTAGATGCCAGCCGCATAAACTCATTCGCAATTGGATACATTAATAAGAGAAGTCGTGGAAGCATGGTTACGCGTTAGTAATAACGCAGCGAAGGCAACGGGACGTGAATCATACATTGAGTTATAACCCATTAATCATGTTTTTATTTCAAAACTTGTTAATTTTTTAATGTCGAAAATTATTATTAATTACCGGTGATGGGTAGATGGGGTGGGGTGAACCGAAGAGAAGAGCATCGTTTCCCTCCCAACGCTCCTCGACTACCTTGCAACGATAAATAATCAAACCAAGATGAGACCAATAAATAATACCCCCCCCCATCCCCCACATCCCCCTTCCCCACCCCCTCCCAGCTACCGAGTTCACGTAGAGTTAAGCATTGCATGGATCTAAGATGCGAGAGAGAACCCCGCGACTGTCTCGCATGCACAATCCAAGTTGCGGAAAATGAGGAGAGTCGATGTCGTTCAAACGCATGGATCCGTCGATTCGTTAGTACACTCCGGTCGATCGATTACTCCCTTAACAAAAACTCAAGTTTCGCGCCAACGAGAGAGGCTAACGTACTTGCCTCCCAAAACCCCGTGTCAATGGACTTTGGGCACTCACCTTTCGAAACCCTCTTGCCTATAGTAGAGGAGGTAGTTGGATACGTCGCCGCTGGGGAGGAGCTCCGGCTCTTGCCAGCGCAAAGCGACGAAACGGCTGTTGACGAGGCCGATGCTGAGATTGCGGGGTGCTGGGGGCAGACCTTCGGTCTCCTCGAGACCCTCGGATGTCTCGACCGCGTCTGAAACAGGCGGCTCGTGGGGTGGGAGGTCGTAGGGGCCGCCGGGAAGCCGCGCGAACGGCCCGCCAAGGAGGTCGGCCGGGTCGTCCGAGGGGCTGATCGAGAGAGGCGGATTGGGCGTGTACGCGGACGAGGTGTGTCCGAGAAGGGTGCTCGGGTGCTGCCAGGTGCTGTTTGACAGCAGCCGATGCGGCAGCCTCTTCTTCGAGACGGGCTTGGCACCTGGGCCAGGGCCGCTCGCCTTGCGCCCGCCCGCGCCTTTGCGCTCCTTTCCTTTATCGTGCACATGCAGTGACATGGTGGTGGTGGTGGTGGTGGTGGTGGTGATACGTGCGATTGGACGGGCAGGATTGAAGAGGATGGGGTAGCGGGCCAAAATCAAACGTGTAAATTAAAGAAATAATAAGCCGGGTTCGGCCAGTGCTTTCTCAAAGATGCGCTCACGCTCGCCCAGACTACGGTTCCCTCTCTCTCTCTCTCTCTCTCTCTCTCTCTCTCTCACCCCCTACTTGGCTTCGACTCTGACCACGCAACATTGATTTTACGATTTGTTTTGTCTTGCGCGCAAACATTATGGGGGCCCGCGAGCCTTGGGGTGACGAGATACGACGAAAGAAAGCGAGAGGCCCTTCGACGCGTAATTTAAGAACGATTGATCAAAATACACGAGCCTTCGTTAATTATGACATTGAGACTTTTTCACGCGAGCGGCTGAGGCAGTTTAGGCCTCTTGCAATTTAAACCTCGCACTCCCCGACCCTCGTCGCCTAAATCTTCGAGAAAGCACATAATAATAATAATAATAATAATAATAATAATAATAATAATAATATAAATAAATTATAAAGAATAATAAAGAATAATAAATATAATAATAATAATAATAATAATAATAAATAATATATAATAATAACAGTAAATAAATAAATAAATAAATAACAACAACAACAACAACAACAACAACAACAACAACGACGACAACAATAACAACAACAACAACAACAACAACAATTATTATTATTATTATTATTATTATTATTATTATTATTATTATTGTTATTATTATTATTATTATCGTATTGATGATAAAGATAGTGAAAAAAGTAATGAAAATAATGAGGGTAATGATGAACGCTTTAAAGCCATTAAAATTTAAATTAAACTATATTAAGAGATGAGAAAAGTATGAAATTTAAAAGTACGAATCCTAAGTACTTTAATAACGACAGCTGATAATCGGTATCGAACCGTTAAAAAGAAATATACTGTCGCAATACGGTAGCTTTTGATTAATCGATAACACGCGATTAATTAATAATTCGAAACAGTTATTAATTGAATATCCAAATGTTGGGGCATAAATTAATTAACACGTGAAGTACTTGTATTGGCGCGATCAATGTTACATTTTTTATTTCCTTACATTAATAAAGAGATTCTCAAATCGTTTATCTAAAAAGCAGAAATGAAGAGGGAATGAAAGGAGGAATAAAAGTATCGCGGCAACTGGCTAATAAATGTATTAGGAAAAAATTAAACGGTGCTGGTTAAAGTCGGATTATTTATATATTGGAATTACATGGCATTGGGAATTATCATGGAAACATTTAACATTTATACGTTTAACTACACGAGCTTACGTTCTACAATCTATGACTCTAAAACAAGTTCTAGTCTAAATCTTATCGTGAATTACTATTTGCATTAGTAAATAATTTAAATATCATAACGTATAGAGCCACCTTCTATAGTCCAAAAGTACTCTCTTTAAGGCACAGCACAGACTAAGAGAAAAATACTCGTGCTTCGGTGCAGCAAAACTACTCGACGACACAAACGACAATAAACAAACATCATCTGGCCAACGACGACGCGCCACACCGTCGGTGATAAGAAATTGCCGACTCCTCGTCGGTAAAAATAACGCTTCGTCGATGGACTCTCTGGGGTCGGTGCGCGAACAAGTAGCCCCGAGGGGCGCTTTAAAAACAAGAGACAGAGGGGAGGGCTGGGTGGAGGGACGACGGGGGAAAAGAAAAAAATGAAGCGAAACAAAGGTCGCCTTGAGATACTCACTCGGCTGATAGATGGTGAGGCGAGCGGTGGTTGCGTGCGCATGCACTGGAAGATGCCCGCGTCGATGTTGAGCAGGCCGTTTATCCTGAGATTGTATCTGAAAGCCAGAGAGAGAGACAATGAGATGAGTTGGCGATGCGATGGGTAGGAGGAGAGTGGGAAGCCGTAGCGGAGGTGGAAAAGTAGCGCGAGTGGCCTTGATCGCGAGTAGCCGATTCTAATGCCCGACCGGGACTCTCTCATCCCGTACTCTATTCGAATAATGGATCTGCCATTATTCCATGGATTTGGGATTTGATGAAATCTCCCCCCCCCCCATCCACCGTGTTGTCAGGGGCAGCATAGTTTTATCGCCCGAGACTCCTTTGTTCCAATATCTCCTCCATCGCCCAGTGACACTTATCAATTTTTCTCTACCGCCCTTTCCCAATTAGCCCGATCAACGGGCGCGTTTCCGCTTCACGACACGCCGCGCATAACTGTTTCGCGATGTCGTCGACCATGGGAGTTCGATTATTACTGGCAATAAAAGCACGACAAAGCAATAACAACGGCCGCGCATTATAATTATAGTCGTAAGAGGACGAGGCCGAGGACGCGACGCTCGCCCGTTGCTCGACCTTACCCGATCCTCGGATTACTCCGCGCCTCTTGGTTCGCATCGCGAATTCGATCCCCGTAACTGCCGCTTCCCTGACTGACCATCCCGTAACCCAGCCGACCAGCTTCCACTGCTTCCACTTGGCGGATTATACCTGCTGGGTATCGCGGGACTGCGACTGGGACGCGCGTGCCCTTCGTAACTTCAAGTATTACGTAACGAGCCAACGGTCAACGGTCTCGGGGGCCAATGTCCGATAATCCTGATGGAATATATCGAAACGATATCGAAGTTTTATCTCGCCCCTTACTCGCTACGTATGTCACGTCAGTCTCGAGCTTTTAGTTGCCTCGCGGCGCTGCACATTTATTATCGGCCATTCTTTCGTACAATAATTTGAAAATGACCTGCAAGCGATCCTGGGTATATTCGTACGAACTTTTAAGCGCGACCTGAAGGATACTTCAAAGGATGATAAGACAAAAGGATGGAGGGCGAGTCTGATTCTACTGAGCTGCCGAGGGCAACAAAAGTAGCTCGACAGAATAGAACAAAAAAAAAAAAAAAAAAAAAAAAAAAAAAAAAAAAAAAAATAAATAATAAAAATCAGGTGAAATCTCTCGACGTTTTTAAGTTCATGTCAATTTAAATTTGCCTAACTTATATTTCAGCCTCGTCAATTCACATCAAAGCCTAGGTTTTAAGCATTGAAAAGCTTAATTATAAGAGCATTTTTTTTTCAAAATTTATTATATTATAGAATTGCGTTAAAATATTATAATACGCTGTAATGTAATATAGAGCTCTTGTGTTTCCCGGCTTTTGGAAATTGCTTGGCTTTCAGAAACATTTAGCAAGCATTTAATTAAAATAATTATTTCGCATGTTATAATTTGTACTTGAAATTTCCTCGTCGTTTTTTCCCTTACCACTTTCGAAAAGCTGCGCTCCAACTAAATATTATTTTTAATATTTTTACTGTATTTTGTCTTCGTTTTTACTTTTTCACGAAACGTTGAGGACTCGCGTTACTTCTAACACTAAAGTAATTACTGGCATATTAAAAAAAAAATTAGTAACTCTTCGATTATCTTGTATACAGTAATTTGCTGTATTCGCTATTAAAATTCATTATTATATCCAGTGAGAGTCAAGAACAGAGACAAAAACAAAATTGCTATTTTTTTTTTCATTCTTACTAGAATTATTTGATGTGCGAGCATGGTAAAAGCAATTTAAAAAAAATACACTTTTGATATTGAATTTTCAATTATTATACGAAAATGTCAAGTGCCGAGAGTCAGTATTTTATCTCGAATAACATTAATACATATCGTTCGGTATGCATACGATACGCTTACCATTGAAACAGGAATCGAAGACGTAACTATGATATTTATCGTAAGAAATAGATAAAATTGTTTTATTATAAAATAGCTTAGCGTACCTTTGCAAATTTCACAAGTGCAAAAGAACTTTTACTTTCATTAATTTCTTTTAATGACGCGCTCATCCACATTTCTCATATTTCACTTGAAAATGAAAGGGATAAATAAATAAATAAATAAATGTGCGCGCGCTTCTGTATTTGTGTGTCCGCGCGTGTGCGTGTACACAGACACACCAACGCAGTTATGTAAATTGTAATGTAATATGAGCCGTAAAATTCGAATTTCTAAATATACTCGAATATCGTTTAACTAATAGCGCACAATAAGATAAAAGCATCCAATTACTTTATAAAATATTACGGCTTGCGTGCGGTCGAATTTAATTGAATGTTTATTTGGCCCTTAAGTTGGGATTTCTCAATTTGATGGAAAGGTAGCGGCATATTTCCTAGGTTCGGGGCTTTTAGCGTCGAACGGTATTCTCTACTCCCTATGAGGAATGCCAGTGCCTCCGGGTCCCCCGAGGGCAATAATAGCCGCATAATTCTGTAAAAGGGCACTCACCCGTTGATGAGCTGCCAGTAATTGCTAAGTTTGATCCTCTCGCCGTTCTTAAGCCACGTGATCGTCGGGGTCGGCTTTCCGTAGATCTCGCACTCGAATTCCAGATCCTGGCGCTCGCTGGCCTCTTTGTCGTGCGGTCGTTTCCTGAATCTCGGCGGCACTGCCGAGTGGGTAGAAAAATATTGAGCACGAAATTCGTCGGCGTGTACCGCTGCCTAATCACCTCGCTTACCTTGCACGACGAGCTCCGCCACCGCGTCGAGGGTGTCCAGGTCGTTCTTCGCGCGGCACTGATACGAGCCATTGTCATCCTCCGTCAGGTCTTTTATCATGAGGCTGGACGCGGCGACCGTCTGGTATCTGAGGAAAGGATACAAATTTACAATTCCATTGGCTGAGGACGAATGCGTGGGCGAGAGATACCGCGAACGACGGGGCAACAAAACTCGTTTTGGCGATGTCACTTTTTCAACGCGAGATCGGACCGCATTTTTATACGTTTGATCGAGCGACCGAGAAATTACGACTTTGGCGCACGCATTTCTTCGCGATAGGAGTGCGCGCCCTTGTACGCGCTACAAAATGCATCCTTCGTCACTGGAAGTTGGGGAGAAATTGTAACCGAGGACGAGCAGTTGACCGCAGTTTGTTGACCACGGTTGACCGCAGTTGTCGGTTCGCGCACGGAAGCTCGGCCAAACCCAGGGATAATTGCAAAAAGACACAAAATAAAAATAATAAAAATAAAAGAAACTGATATAAGAAAATTAAAAAAGCCTCTATGTAGCGCAAACGTATTGAAATGAAACTTACGAATAAGTCGGAGATTATATTCATTTAACAAATCTAGTAATTGACGATTACCAGACTTACTTGCGCTTACAAAACAAATCATAGTGTTAAAATAATTATCGATACTTGATATTTTGTGAAAGTGTGGATAACGTACACATTATGAAACGTCTTTGACAGTTAAATTATAAATCGTCAAGTAGACGTCAAGGAGACGTCAAGTGTCGTACATTATTTATAATAATATTTCGTACAGGGTTTGATTCATCCGTCGAACAGTTTTCATCTCCGCGAATAATTAATGAGAGCCGAGTTGCGCAACTACAACGCTCTAAAAAATAATGGTCATTAAATAATTACGACTTAAAACAACGGGGCAACGATATTTTGGATGAGCCTGATAACTTTCATCGTCCGTCTCTCTTAACGTCTTAACGGCTAAAACACGAATACGACATCTGTTAAAAGCGCGGATTACCGAAAATTCACATCTGCGCGGGCGTAGATAAAACTTTACTTGCATTATTACCGTCCGATCGTTTAAAAATCAAGATTTCACGCGCTAGATGGCTCCATCGTCCATTAACGAAAGCTACGATAGGAGCGGCCGATAGAGAGAGAGAGAGAGAGAGAGAGAGAGAGAGAGAGAGAGAG